GTGATTCCCTTCTCTCTATTACCTATTCAGTCAAAAGCATAACCTAGCAATTCTACATCTTAAATATTTATATTTGTTCCATATTCTTCATTACTTCTGAGGTGACTAATTCAGACAGTCATTGTCATTAACAGCGATTTGTTAAATAATTCTTTTTTTTTTTTAAAGATTTATTTATACAAGCACTGGGTACAGTCAGAAGCACGGGAGGGTGAGAGAATTCACCAGAGCCAGAGAAGGGAACAGAGCAGGCAGACTGACAAAATACACTGCTAAGGGGAGCAGTGGGTGCGGCAGGAGAGGTCTGCTCACCAAGTGCAACCCTTGCCCAGCCGGGGATGGAACGGGCACTGCAGAGGCTTCGGGCAGCTTTGCAGCCCAGTGCTCAACCACTGCGCCACCAGGGGAGCCCTGTTAAATAATTCTTAAAGATTTATCTTCCTGCCATTTTCCAGTCTTTATGTATTTATATACATATATGTAAATCCCACTCACAATTCAGAAAAGTTTTTGATAACTTGAGCTATTATGTTATTTTGTTAGGAATAAAAACAAATACAAAATAATGAAATTATCATCATTATCAATATTATCATCATTATCAATGTAACTACAAATATTTTCATAGATCTCTAATAGTTTATACTGCTTCAGCAGATGTGAACTATTTATATCATTTTCTTTTTCATCCCAGCTCATCAGTCCCACAAAAAAAATGTCTAATCAGATACTCACACATATATCCTAGTACTGTGGTTGCCAACAGGAGAAAAAAAGCATAAAATTCCAGAATTATTGCAACTCCATGCCATGGAAATTCTGCACAAAATCAAAATGTAAAATATATAGTAAGCATTGAGCATTGCAAAATTCTGACTTGGAACAAAAATGAAAATTTATTCTAGACCCTAAAATTACTATCACTGTTTCCTGTTATCATAAATTATATTCAATATTACATTTAAATACATCCCTCATATATAAAAGGCATAAAGTGTAACATATAGAGAGATACCCTTATATGATTCTTTTTGAAACAACATATTTTGTTTACAGAGATTAGAAAAGCAGAAAAGACCCCCCTACCTCTCTGTTTGTGAGCTGGATGTCTTTTGTCCTTCTGTTCTTTTGAATTACGCAATTTGAAGATTCAGGTATGTCACTGTATCATCACTCATTTCTGAGAGCCACAGACAGATCAGAAATTTGTTACAGTGTTTTGTAAGGCATATTTGTGATGACTAAAAATGGAGACACTCATTATGAAGAAATAGAGCTAAATGAATGATGGGCATGATCATCTGAAATAAGTTTGTTAAGTAATTGGGACTATCAAAAGAGATATATATTCTATATAGAGATATTAGAATATCAAATATATAAATTATATATACATATATGATATAAAATTTTGCATTTTGTTCAAACTTATTTTTCATTTAATTTTATCCAAAAGTGTGATCATTCACATACACTAAGCTTATATAAACATTTCCAAAAAAAATGCATAATATCCCTTTTTCCAATGATATATAATAAAAAATGATTAAAGAATAGAAAAAAATTCCAGAATATATTGTTAGTATTTCTGTTAGAAAGAACCTAAATAAATGTGAATCTTCAGTTCTAAAATATCTTAATACTTACCATTTAATTACTTTTAAGGAAAATTGATTTGAACAATATTCAATATTAAATAAAATGTATAAATACACTTTCCTTTGTTTTTCAAGAAATATTCTATCAAAAATAAAAGGTAAAAGGGCCGACCAAGTGGCTTAGCGGTTGAGCGCTGGGTTGCAAAGCTGCCCGCAGCCTCTGCAGCACCAGTTGGATCCCGGCCACCGGGTGAGGGTCCCACATGGCCCGCAGACCTCTCCTGCCCCCTCAGCAGTGTACTTGGTCCATCTGCCTGTTCTGCTCCCCGCTCTGTCTCTGGTGAATTCTCTCTCCCTCTGGCGCTTCTGACTGTACCCAGTGCTTGTATAAATAAATAAATAAATCTTTAAAAAACATTTCATCTTTAAAAAAATAATAATAAAATAAAAGGTAAAATTGTTTAGAAGTCATTATTTTCCTAGTTAACTGGTTGAAGCTTAATTTTTTATTTTTTTCTTTATTCTTTTTTTTTTTAATAGAGGCATGTTTATTTATTTATTTGTTTGTTTGTTTGTTTATACATGCACTGGGTACAGTCAGAAGTGTGGGAGGGTGAGAGAATTCACCAGAGCCAGAGTGGGAGCAGAGCAGGCAGAGGGACCGAGGTACACTGCTGAGGGAGCAGCGGGTGGCAGGAGAGGTCTGAGCGCCATGTGGGACCCTCCTCCAGTGGCCTGGGAGCAGCCAGGGATCGAACAGGCGCTGCAGAGGCTACGGGCAGCTTCGCAACCCAGCGCTCAACCGCTGCGCCACTGGGGAGGCCCTGAAGCTTAATTTTTTAAATCAAGTATCTATATGTCTAAATACAACACGAATTTGTAATATAAAACAATTTGTTTTGATTGAAAAATAGTTGTTATTTAAACATTTAAACTTTCTTATTACATATGCTTTAGAGTGAGAGAATTTAAATTTAATTTAATTATTAAATTTAATAATCAAAAGGTAGCACCCATAGAAGTAAAACAATACAGATTTATATTAGCTAAAAAGAATACAGATTTTTAAATGAATACGGATTTATATTAGCTAAAAAAATAAATATTCCCCAAATATCTTATTTTAAAAAATCATATTTTAAATATCTTATTTTAAAAAATCATATTTTACATAGTATTTTGACTCAATTTCATTCTAATACATTCTTTTCTTCACCAGTAGAATTAAGTAAACTTTCAATAAATTTAACATGAGACCCAAAGTCAGATATTTCAGCAACAACCAAACACTCCCAATTTTCTGCAGGATCCCAGAAATATTCTACTTGGTCCTTACTGGCCAGCAGCCTGACAAGCAAGGCCTGGATCCCCCACCCTGGCTGGTCATACCTGTGTGTTTGCTTTGGGTCTCACCAGCTGGAGAAGTGTTTGGTCAGGAACACAGTGAGGATGTGCTGGCACTGTTTGCCTTCAGTAACCTGCTCTGAGGTGAAGGTGAGGAGGTACTTGTGATGTGTGTGTCTGGCCTCAGAGACACTGTGTCAGAGAAAGAGAGCCAATGATCAGATGACACCAACATTCCTCACAGAGTTTCTGCTGCTGACTGTATCTCATTTGTTCCACACACTGTGTCACTAAGAGTCCAGAGAACTAAAATGCTTCATGTTGTGGGCAATAGGTCAATCCAAACCTGAGTTTTAACACTTACCATCCTGCTTAAAAATTAGTTGGCCACTAAGAAATTCATGAGCTTAGGAAATGGTTGACACGTGGAGCGCAACCACTGAGCAAATGAAGTCTGTTAGGGAGACTACGCTCTAGGATCAGAATCTATTGGTTGTATTTAATTATATTTTTATATATTAGGAACCAAATGGAAAAATTATTCTAAAATTAGCATATATTTATTGTAATTTGTTGTCTCTGATCTTTTTTAAAAGTTGTAGTGACTTATGTCTATCATTGTTTTAATATTAACAAAATGATTGTGCATATGTATCCGTAATAACTGACAAACACCAATGAAAAGCAATTAT